AGTACGTTTTTGTTTTTTCGAGCGAGGTCCAGAATGGTGGCTTGTTTTCGTATGTTCCATTGGCGGATTTCCGATTTACAGCGGTTCCGCCTTTTACGAAATGCCAGCTCATCTTCTGTATTCCCTGTAGTCAACGTTTTGAGAGAGTTGTGATCTTTTTTCCGGGACTCACCGAATCCTTTTTGGCAGCCTGCGGTTCATCCGAGTTCGTGGCGTTTTTCTGGGACGAACGTTGCTTCAGCCTCGTTTACGTTTTGGACAATGGTCCTATATATTTCTTCCGCCGGAGCTGGTCTCAGTGTGACTTGTTCAAGAAAGATGCGTGTTCCCGAGTAGTCTGGACGTTTGAGGTTCGGGATTTCTGACCCAATAGCAGATGAAATCGAAAATCAGCACACAGTGGACGCTGTCCTAGTGGAACGTTACTTGTTACCTGATCCACGAAGTGTCTCGTTGGTGATGAACTACTCCAGCAGGGATGGTAGTTGGCCTGCGCGGTATCGGGTGAGTGCAACGGCATGTTGAGTCCAAGCGCTCCGTTGAACGACTTCAATCAGCGCCACTGCAAGACGTCCGCCTGATTCGACTGGAGTTCCAGCCAGGAGGCCTTTGGGGCGTTGAAGTCACCTACCAGCAGCTGAGTGAAGTGGGAGTTGGAGGACATTTGCTCGAGTGTTTGTATGAGGAATAGTTCATCTTCAGGTGGACTTAAGGGGCTACAGTAGACCACAACGAGAAGGAGGGAATCGGGCCCGAGCAGCGGGATTCGGACCCACAATGCATCGCAAAATGGTAGAGGGGTGGTGTCAGACTGGACAAGTACAGAGCAACCCCACCAGCCCTCCCTCGTTTTGAGTCAGCTCGAAAAACAGAGTAACCGTCTATCGAGATCTCCGCGTCATAGACATCTGGTGTGACCCAAGTCGCTGTGAGTGCGATTATGGACGGTTGTTTAAGGTAAGCTGACTGTTTAACATCGCCGAGTTTGTTGGAAAGGCTTAGGCAGTTTGTGTACAAGCATTTCAACACCGTCTCTGCTACCTCCGAGGGTGAGGAGCCGAAAGTTGAGTGACCAGGGTGGTTAGCAGACTTAATAGTTGTTCACCGGGTTTGGGTCCAAGGCTCAGAAGGGGCCTCTGAGGCAATGTCGTCTGCTTCCTGTCTTCGTGGTTTCCGGGGGGCTTTTCGCTTGCGAGGTTTCTTTTTTTCCGTGAGCGCCCGGTTTGCTCAGTCCTTTTGGCTTTAGGAGACAAGGTCTTTTTCCCGTGGGCGAAAATTTCGACCGTTGCTGTTTGTAGCTCTTTTAGCACCCCCATTTTGACGACCAGATTTGCTGTAGATCGGAGATTTGCGGCAAGCTTTCGTCTTCCTGGATTCTTGGCGGTTTTGGCGCGGTTTGACCGGCTAAGTGTCTCTGTGAGGCCCTGGGCGTTGGGTGGAGTCACCATGAGGCAATACTTTTGGTGGCGCTCCCAAGAGGCTCGTTTTCGCGGAGGACTGCACCTGGAAGCCAGCCAGTAGTTTTTCAATCTGGCGAATTTTATGTGGATTGCTTGGCTGCAGTCGTTCTTCTTTCGTGCTTGTGTGGACACCCGATCCGCCGGCGATCAGCGTGGCCAACTGGATGTACGAGGGATTTTCCGGATGGCTGTAGTCATGCTCATTGCTTAGGTTCGGGGTCTTGGTCGATGGTTGTGTCCACAAGCAGAGAGACCGCTTTTGACGGAGTGGAGCTGAGGATTAGCTTCGCTGCTTGTCCCCGCACATCTGATTCAGTACAGTTCAGATGCTGTGGCTTTGTTGACGAGTGCATGGCTGCAGCTGTGTTGTTGGTGGCTCCACGTACTTTGGGCGCAGCTTACATGTGAGGTTTGTCTTCTCCAGGGCATCCCTGCCTTTGGTGGACGAGAGGCCTGTGGTGGTCGAATAAGAACTGCTGTCTGGAGACGCAGCTGGTTTCGTCGGCCTGCTTTCGGGAGCACAACGGGATATGACCACAATCGGCTTGGTCATGAGTTTTGGGTCGGCTGAATTGGTACCTACCAGAAGCCTGTTTCGCGCCCCCACTCCTGATGTGGTGACCCAGCTTTCGCGCGTCTAGAAGGCCATCCTCAGATAGACGCCTGACCATTGGGTTGGCCTTCTGAATGCTGCCAGCCCGCTCCAAGACCTTCTGTACATCAGATGGGGAAGAAAGAGTGACGAGAAGTCCAAGACTTCGCTTGCTTCCCTTCTGGAGTAACAATTCTGCGTGGAGCGATTGATCAAGCTTGGTGGGGACATTCCTAAGGATTGATTGTGGCAGCATCGCTGGCGTGATTTTTCCGCAGAATGACCTCCAGATTATCAATCTGCTTTCCCTTAGGCGCCTGTCCACTAAAGACGCTGTGGTGGTCTTTATAGCCGCGTCAGAGAGTTGTATTACTTTCTTCGCGGCCAGAGCGCCCGGTATGGATATCGCGAGGTACTCGTTCAGCGAAGAAAGTTCATTGTCAACTTTCATCCAAGTCGCTGCACTTTTAGTGTCTGAGTACTCCAGTGCCTTTGAAAGACGCTCCAATTTCTCGTCGAATATCCTGATCAAAGCGGAACACTGACATCGGTCTTTTTGAATCTGCAGTGAGGATTAGGTACCGTTTTTTGGGTCTCCTCTTGGCCGCGGTATGGATTGCACCCTTAACGTAGAGGCAGCTGGCGCAGACAAACGGGTCAGGATAGTTAACTATTCGGCTTATCTGGTCGTCCTGTAAACCCGTGCGTTTAAAGTTTACCAGGCCCGTTTAAAGTGCCACCAGGCCTTGCAGGTGTGGCATCGCATACCGCGTTTGACGTTCGACGGGCAGCCATTTCGCCCACATATGTTGTGGTCTATCAATGGCTGCAGAGAGCAATCGGTATAAATTGATGACATGTTTCGGACTAGATGTAAAATAAAAAGTGTGTACAAAATATCAAGGTTTATCTCTCAGATGTTTTGTTAGGGTAATAAAATTCAACAATTACTCGTGTGTACTCTTTGAATAGATTGAAAAACGAAAAAATTCTTTCGCAAATTTGCACGAGGGAAAAACGAAACCGATTTCGAAAGCACCGTCGGCATCACCCGGTGATGTTAGAAGTCCGTGGTATCTGATGGTGACTGAATAGGCTGGCCGCCCAACTACCTCGATCCCTTTGTCTATGCCAGCCGCATCTACCCTAGGTGTGCTATGCATTCGGTAAACCCCATGACATCTTTTTCCAAAAGAGATAGACCTTATAATCAGAACCGCCAAATAGCAGCTGGTCTCTATTGTGGA